ATATCACTCATTATTTTACTCTCTTCAAAGATATACTACTCGCGCTGCGGACTAACTAAGCCCGCAGGCGACAACTACTGAGCCTGCGCGAGAGAAGCCCACGCACTGCAACAAAGAGTAGCCCCCGAAAGCCCGCACACAGCAACGAAGACCCAACGCAGCCAATAAATAAATAAACACACACATATACACACACACAACTCCCTACTACTTACCACGTGAAGTCCACACTCAAATACAATTATTAGCTGGAATGTGTCTCTCCGTTCTCCATTTAATACTAGTAATTCTCTTAAGGCCCAGCACCACCCCCTTTATATCATACATTATACAAACCTGTGTGTATAAACACCAAAGTTTAGAAACGTTAACGAAACCTTAGATACCTTCTACCTACCAATTTCCAGTGATTCCTCCTCCCCTTCTGCAGTCTCTTGTTTTTAAGTCTTACTTAATAGACATATATCTTTTTAAACAGTGTTAATTTAGCATTTCTGAATTTTATACAAATTGTCTTAAAATGTATGTATTGCTTGCTTTTTAAAACTGATTTACACATGGATTACATCTACATTTTCACTGCAATATAGATACCATTAGGGCACATACACTTATCTGTTTTGTTTTGCAGATGATGCACAGTTTCCAATTTCCTGTCATTAACAAGAACGCTGTTATGAATATTTCTAGGTTTCCTGATGCTTAAGTGTAAAGTTCCCTCGTCCATTCTGCTTTCCCAGAATATCATAGCCCACACAAGGAAACATAGCTAAGCATTAAAATTGTTCTGTTGTTCCACATCTTTTCACAGCTAGAAAAATTTTTTTACTTTTTGATGTGAACCATTTTTAAAGTCTTTATTGAATTTGTTACAATACTGCTTCTGTCTTATGTTTTGTTTTTTTGGCCTCTGGGTGGGCACATGGGATCTTAGCTCCCCCACCAGGGATTGAAGCCGCACCCCCTGCATTGGAAGGCGAAGTCTTAACCACTGGACCGCCAGGGAAGTCCCAAGAATATTTTAAGTACAAAGGTTTGTATTTCTTTGCTATTACTGTTCCTTTCCCATCTACTGTGTGATTCAGGTGTTCAAACACTTGACTTTAAACTTTCACATATGGTATAAGCTCTTTTTTCAGTGACTATACCAAAGGGAGACGTTTAATATCCTAGAAATTCCCACAGAGAAAAAAAAAAACAACAAACCCACCACACACATCACCTTTAAAGACCAGAAAGTTGTCTATTTCATTAACAATCTATGATACTACAAATCAAAGATCCTACTGAGACTCTAGCATCAACAGATTACTTTCCATATTTGCATTTACTGCTAACTGTGACAACTATAGGCATTTCCCCCCTCTCCGCTCTTCTTATCCAGCTGAATATCCAACAGCAAGAGCTGGGAAGACCTATCATCCCACCCCCCCACCACGGGAACCCTCTGTTTTCCTACTAACGTGTTCTGACAGGTACCAACAACCACAGGCTATTGGTACTCTACAAAAGGCAGGCAGAGATTTGCTATTTAAAAAAGTTTCCAGAAAAAACCCAAGTATTTTATATTAGCCTTAATCTTTGGAATAGTTTTAAAATCTTTAATAATTAAAAATTTTAAGTTAAAAGATTTTAAGTTAAAAGAAATTTTAATTAAAAAGAATTGTACATAAGCTTTCATTGCTACTTCATGTAAATTTTAATTTCAGCAACTCCTGAGCCTTTTTTATACAGACATTAGGGCTTGACCTACAACTGGAAAATCACATGGAGGCTGCAACACGTCAAAGATACTGCATCTATTCAGACCTGCCACAGTAATAAATTATATTCAGGTGAGGAAAGATAACACAGCATTTATCATATAACTTCTACTGTATTACAGTTTATATTTAAGCTTACAGTCAATATCACCTGCGATAAGTCAAAAGCTAAAGTACTTTAAAGGCTACCTATCTAAAGTCCTCTCAATCCACTGGCTTCTCTCTACTCTACCTTTATCCACTAAACAGCTTTTCTACCTATAAACCTTTTAACAAGCATGTCACAACCCTTGATCCTAATGGTCCAATGAGAAGACCCACTACATACCTAGGAATTTTAAATTAAAGCAATTTCCTGGATAGTGTTAATTAACCCTGGAATAACCACATATATAAAAAATTTCAAAACTACACTGTCTACAACCCTTCCACCTTACCCACAATGAATTTTGTATTGTCCATCCCAAACCTTAAGTCAGTCAAGTACACTTAGAACCTGTTGTCACAGTGTGGTACAATTTTAATACGATTCTAACTAAGAGAGATATATAAAAACAAAGCACAAATTTTTAATTAGAAGATCTGCTAAGAACACCACCTAACAGACCACTACCCAATTCTCTAGTTTTGATCATTTAAAAACAGCTAATGGCTGCAGTTCATATCATAATCTAATTATTAGTCCTAATAATAATTTTACATAAGAATGCCTTCAGATTTCTCTGTACACACATAATAACAAGGGTATCTTACACAAGCGTTTCTGTCACTTTTGAACACTCTGCACTTGATTTCAAGAAGCTGGCTCACTTCTATCTCAATTCCCCTCAAAAATACATGAGATCCTAAAAAAACAAAACATGAGATTCTGGTCTTTTCAGCAGTTCTAGCATTTACAAAAAATGTTTCACTTTTCCTCATTACAAAAGTAAGTATAATGTCTTGTGGATATTTCAGAAAAAAAAGAAGGAAATACAAATGACCCACAATGCCAACATCCAGAGCCAAAATTTTGGGTATATCTCTATTTTTATGCTTATTTACACGTTCCTTGAAACAACAAAAAAAATCATCAAATTTGGTATTAGTGGAGCTTTATTACACTTTCTTCCCAATGAGTACTATATTCCACTATAATTTTCCCATCACTACTCTCCTCTTAAAACACTTCTAAATAGCTGTATAGATTACCACTTGATGGCCACACTACAATTAGTAGATCTCCAAGTGTTTTATCTTCTGGATTTTTAATACGCTTAATAACCAACATTAACATTTACGTACACCAATCTTTGACACATTATTCCCTTATTTACAGGATAACTTCCTGTAAGTATAGTTCTTCCATTTTTAAGCCGATTTATTAAAACATGCAGAGCCTAAATCAAGTATCCAATCAAAATGCAAGCGTTCTAGAACACACTGGCATCACTGCCCCTGGTTAACTACATAACAACTTCCTTGGGGTTTAATTCTCTCTTCTATAAAATTAGGAATTTGAACTACCTGTTATTTCTTAAATTATGTAAGACATTTTCTTTGCATTCTTCAGTTGTTAAAGTCTGTTTAAATATCATTGACTTGTAATAATATTTGGCGTTTACACGTCCCTAAAAGCATTAGTAGAATTAGTTTGTTTAAAGACTCCTTTAACATACACAATGTTTTAAGGTCAAGGGTGGTTAAATCCTTCTGAATTAATTAGCTCAAAATGCTACGTAAAAGCAACTCCACTTACACAAAGCTGAAGAGATGTGTAAAGATGATAATGTGAAAACTTCCTTTCTGGGTAAAGCATACGCTAACGTTATCAACATATAACGTGAAAAGGAAGAAATGCCAATTTAAGGCACTTTCAACACAAAGCTTCTGGCTAACGATCTCTTTTCCAAGTCTTATTTACATGACCAACCAGAAGAACCTTCATGTAGTACTTCAATCGTGTTTAATTTTAAGTTCAGTTCAGTGTAAAAGTCACACAGCGTTTTTTGCAACAAAAATCTGTCCTCCCCGTCTTGATTTCCACAACAATACTAACGTGAAACAATTATGTCGAGAGACTCCGTAGGTGACTGAACCATTTAGCTTTTTAAAAGGAAATTTTATTTTGAACATGTATGAAAATTGCCTAAAATATAATTTTTGCCCGCTGAGTACAGCTGTTTAAATTTACCTGGGAGAAAACTGTTTTGTCGACTATCTAAAAATATTAAACCAAGCTCTGTTCAACACGCAGAACGCAGCATCAATGCAAAATCTCATGACTACGACCTGGGAAATCAACGACTCGCACACTATTCCAGCGCGCTTCAAAGACTAGAATTTCGGAATCGCCATAACTGTTCTAGAAATATCTGGCTGGAAAACTGTAACTGATCCAATAAGCCTATGCCACAGAATGGGGCCACAGAGCAGGATAAACACCTAGGAGATATTGCTCCGCCGTAAATGGGGAAAGTCCCTGTAGAACACACAACATGGCACAGCGCCGGCAACGAAAAGAACAACGATGCCGCGACTACACCAGGGTGTACTCTAAAGCCTTTGTTTGGAAACCGGAAGGTCCCCACACCACGCCATCCTCTCTGGAGAACCCTAGACTGATAGTATTTTAATAAAGAGGAAAAGGAATGTGAGGTGACTCTCTAAACAACAAATCTCCTGCTTCGCAGCGCACTGAAGAAGGCTTTATCCACGACGCAATACGATAAACAAGCGTTAACGTTTCATTTTTCGGCCATTTTTACGCGATGGCGGGTGGGGGGAATTGTTTCTGAGGGCCGGCTAAAATCGCGCGAGCCTGTGTGTGGGCAGAGGAGGGGAGTCTTAGGGGGCGCTATGAAACGATGGGCGAGGAAAGGAGCGAAGGCCGCGACACCAGGAAAAAAACGCCGCTCAAACGGCTAAGCTTTTCAGAGTCTACGAAATCCTCCATTTTGGGACACATTTTCAGGCGCAAAAGGGAAAAAAAAGCAAATATATCTGGGGCTGGCCCTATCTTAACTATCCTCCCCAAACGGCAGGCCCCCTATGATTAGTCGGTCCCTCAGGCCTCGAGCGCTCCTCCCTTCCCCTCAGCGCTGCAGTCCGCGTGTAACGGGCTCGTCGTCCCGCCCCCGCCCACAGCAAGCCCAGGACGCTGGAAGCTCGGCCGATCGGCTGCCCTCTGCGCCCCCGACTCTCCCGCCGCACCCTGGGCCCTTGCCTGGCCGCGTGTCTCCCTCCGGGGCCGCTCACCTCCGCCGCCCGAGAAGGCTGGTTGCGCCGCCACTGCGCTCCTAACATGGCGGCCGCCGATCAGGCGGCTCACATACGCAGCGCGGAGGGAGGCAGAGCGGGCGAGCGGGAGCGAGCAAGAAAGGCGCGCCGCCGGCTCCCCGCGGCCCCTGTCGCCGTCGCTGCCTCCTCCCGGAGGACGCAGAGAGCCCCCGGCCACCCCACCCCGATTCTTACCCGCTTCTCGCCTACCTTAAGGAGAGGGAGAGGGAAGAGGAGAGGCACCTCTCTCCAAGCGAGCGGGACGCTGAGGCTCCCACAATCCCCCGCAGCAACGGCGCTGTAAGAGGTGGCAGCAGCGGCTGCAGCCCAAGAACAAACCCACTCTCGCGAGAGCTCGCCCCCACCCTCCTCGGTCCCTTTCTGCCCCTCCCCCTACTCAGCGCGCGCACGTCGCTCGCGCCCTCAGCGGCGGTCGTTGTTCTCTAATCCTGTAGCCGGTTTATGGCGGGAAATGGAGAGCCGCAGCTTACGAGTTCGAGTCCCATTCCCCACAAAGGATTTTTCTCGACTCCCCCTATATTGCTGGGCGTAAAACTTAACGTTAGAAGCGAGTCGCAGGAATCCCTGGCCTAGACCCAATTTCTATCCTCTCTGGTATTATCTGATAATTTGCTGAGGGATCGTAGTTAGGGCCACGAAGTGGGGACAGATACCATTTTGAGTGGTTTTTGATTTCAGATATTTCATGCAGAGTCATTGAGGAGAAAGACAGCTATTGAAAAGACCGCCGCAGCCATTTGGTGAATTTGAACGTAGAACACTCTTCAAGTACCCCATGAGCAAAGGAGTATATAGCACATGTGGAAATCCTGAGAAATTGTATAGATAAGGCCGGAGGAAAGGGCCCCTGGGGTTTCAAGTTTAAACGCAGAGGGACAGGCAGTCAACTGACAACTGAGGTAAATCAGTGAATACAAGTCAGATTAATAGCCCTGAAAAATTTAAAATCTAGAGCATGCTAACTCCGATTCGTGTCTTTGAAAAGTCATTCTGGGTCTACTGTGAAGACATTGGAGGGAGAAAAGATGGAGAAGAGCAGAGACCTGTAGAATGTCGAAGAGATCGTTTGGGACAAAAAGCAAATCTTACAATCAGGTAGAGCTAAATGGCAAGAGACCAAGTGAGTAGAGGTAGGGGAAAAAAGCAAAGAGGCGGGAGGCAGAGAAATTGTACTGCCTTGACAGCCCAGCCAGAGTACTTAAAGGCCAAAATGATCAACAGGGTCAAATGCTATCAAGAGGTCAAGACTAGGACTAAAAACATCTACAAAAGATTTAGCAACTTGGACTTCCAGTAAAGTGGGAGAGGAAGTCAGAGGGGAGGTGCTGAGTGTATGGAAAGCTGTAAGAGGGAAACTACCAAATGCAGAAAAAGTGGCTATGAAGAGAGGAGAAAGCAGGGTTGGGGAAGATTTTTGTTTTACTATGGGAGAATTTTGGGCACAATTAAAATGTTTGCAGAAGAGTTATCTTAGGAAAGCACTGGTTGAAAAAAAAAAACAGGAGAAGGGATAATTCATATTGGACACTACTCAAAGGATGGGATCTGAAGAAAGGAGACATGTCTTTACTGTAACAGGCGGTACGGAGAGGATGGTGCGGAGTTTTATTAGGAATTATAGTCAGGTGACTTCAATTTTCTGTGACTAAGCCATCTGTGGAAAGGGCTAGAGTTGCATGAAGGAATATTTTTAAACAGCCGTTGTGAAGAGTGAAACTGTAATCCCACATGTCCATTATGTTGCATGATTTTCTACAGGCTTTGAGAGGGCATTTGGTAGAATACATCAAGAACTGGGGTTCCCCTGAATAAGTAAGGCTTAAGCCCACTAAATAGTTAACTTTGGAATGAAATTTGGGGATCTCCTAAATGTTCAGTGAATCTTGGTCCTCCTTCACTTGAAACCAGATCTGCTTTCTACTCTGAGTCTTTGATTCCAACTGACTTTGGATAAGACTTCACTTTATGTTCTCCCCAGATCTTAGATGAAAAAAAGAGGCTCTGCTTCTCTGGAGACAGAAACATGAATGCATGCTTAGTTCAGATATGCACTTAACCATGCTTTTGTACAGGCTGTTAATGCAATCTGGTGGTCGTACAAAGAAGGAAAGGCAGGCTTTTTCAATTGAGTAATTATTTATTGAGGATCTGCTTAGTGGGTCAACAGCAAAAAGACACATTGGAAACCAAACTGATACAAGATTTCAGTCATCAAATGCCAATTTCATGAAAGACAGTGTACAAGGGTGGGTATATAATGATGGATAAGACAGATTATCAGCTCTTGAGGATCCCAGTCAGATCAAGATTGGACAAGGCGTCTGGCCTCAAGGTGAGCCTGGCTATGAGAAGAGATGGATCAAGAGCTCTATTCACATTTGGGTTTCTTGGCAGTGGGTGTGGTACACCAGGGATGATAAAGAGGCTACGAAGCAAGTATTTCTGCTGAGACTTTTAAATGTCTAAGTGACAAGTTTGAAATAAGGCTTTAAACACCAGGATACAGTCTACATTTGAGCTAATAATGAATACCTTTAAAAGTTTTGAGCAGAAGAGTCATATTGATTGAGGACATATATTTTGACACCACTAAGTAGCTGATAATGCATTATAATTCTGAGAGTAAAGTACCATTACTCTTGTTTTACATAAGAGATTAAGAAAGCTTGCCTAAGGCCAGGTAGCCAGGATTTGAACTCCGTTCTAAATAAATCCAAACCCAGAGCTTTAAAGCATTATATTGGATTGCCTTCAGCAAAGCTGTGGTCTCAGAATCTCCTGGCAGTCCACCATCTACTTCTTAAATAGATTTAATGCCCTGGAACCAGGCCATTTCAATACTTTAGGCTATTTAAAAACAGAAAACTGTTAACCAGTGGCTCATTTTTAGCAGTGGCAAGGGAGGGGAAGTGGGCTTAAAAAAAGGGTTTTGGGGGAATTCCCTGGTGGTCCAGTGGTTAGGACTCCACACTTCCACTGCAGGGGTCCTGGGTTCGATCCCTGGTCAGGGAGATCCCACAAGCCATGTAGCAGCAAGGGTAAAAATAAATGAATAAATTAAAAAAATTTTTTGAATAAGGAATACATATAATAAAATTCAAAGCACACAACAAAGAGTTTTCCCCAACCACTACTCCTTTACATAAAGGCAACCACTATCAACCATTTGTGTATTTTAAGGATTTCCTATAAACATTTATACACACACACACACACATATACGCTTGTGAATTAAAGATTGCCACAAATAATCCTTTTCCGCACTTATGAAACAGTAGCATCAATTTCCCCCTTACCTGCCCTCTGTAAGGGCCCTGTAATTGGCTTTTAACAATAGAACACAGAAGTGATTTTAAGATCTACTTTCATCCACTTGGAAGTCAAGTGCCATGCTGTGAGACCACATCAAAAGAATCGAGGTGCTTCAGTCAACAGCCCCAGCTGAGCTCCCAGGTGACAGCCAGTGTCATCTGCCAGCCAAAGTGAAGCCTCCAGATGGCAGTAGCCCCAGACAAATCCATGTGTAACAACACAACCACCCAGCAGAGCCCAATTAACCCACAGAATTTTAATACTTGTTTGAACTACTAAGGGTTTATTTTTAGTAGATTTTTTTTTTCAAAAAAATTTTGGCTGCATTGGGTCTTCGTTGCTGTGGGCAGGCTTATCCCTAGTTGTGGTGTGATCTATCTTCCCAGACCAGGGATTGAACCCGTGTCCCCTGCATAGGCAGGTGGATTCTTAACCATTGCACCACCAGGGAAGCCCCTGAACTACTAAGTTTTAAGGTGGTTTAAAATCTGGTGACACACCAAAGTCTTATATTCCTATTTTCTGCTATTCAAAGCATTAGTATTAAAAAGTTTAGGTACAGGAACTCCCTGGAGGCCTAGTGGTTAGGATGCGGCACTTCCACTGCAGTGAGCATGGGTTCGATCCCTGGTGGGGGAACTAAGATCCTGCACACCACATGGTGTGGCCAAAAATCAAAAGTTTGTGTACATATTACCCTATACATGTCAAAGTCTATGTGCAGTTTAAAATAAACCCCTCATTTTCTAAACCTATGCTGTCGCTGTACAACAGCCATAATCTACACTCACTTTCTCAATCTTACTATCTATAGTTAACTAGTGGACAGTTTGGAGAAAATTTGTCATTGTAGAACTTTAAATTATATAGTGCTGTTCTAGAGCAGTGGTCAGGCAAAATTTCTGTAGTGTCAAATGGCATTTTAGGCTTCAAGGCCCATAGTCTGTCAGAAGTACTCCGCACTTGTGCAAAAGCAGCCATGATTGGTCAATAAATGAGTATAACTATGTTCTAATAAACATAAATATTGGAATTTTAGTTGGAACTAATTATTCCTTTGATAACATCAAATTCTATTTGTAAATCTGATTGCTGGAAAATGGAATTTAAGCTATGGATTTTACTTGCATTAACTAGGGTTAAGCATCACTTAACTGTTTATATCTTTTGCCATTACCTATTGGGTTGTTGAGCTTTTACCTCTTAGTTTATAGGGACTGTATTAAAGAAAAATTAACTCTTGGCAAACATTTTATTGGTTGTTTCTTTTTCCAAACAAAATTTTTAAAAATCTAGACATCATCCAGTCTTTTTAAGTATTCATTTTGTTTTTTTCACTTAGAAGGCAAAGCTACTACACAATTATAGATACCTTGTTTTCTTCTTGAACTTTTTAATTTGTTTCAGGATCTATTTTTGTATTCCCTTAATTGTTCCATTCGTAGAGTAGTCTACTCAGGTGCCAGTATCACCCTTTTTTTTTGGCTGCACCATGTAGCATGCAGGATCTTAGTTCCGCGACCAGGGATCAAACCCTTGGACGGCCAAGGAAGTCGCCATCCTGTCTTATTATTTTAACATCTGGTAGAGCTAGTTTTCCTTTATGACTCTGGTTCTAATAGTATAATATTTCTTAATATTATGGTTTTCCCATATGAATGTTAGAATTAACTTGTCTACTTCCAAAAATTATCCTGTTATTTGTAATGGGATTTTAATAAACTTATACTTTTCTTTAGAATTATTATGTTGAGATTTATTGGACATGGTATGACTTCCATTTAAGGTCTCATTTTTGTCATTTTAATATTTTCTTCATATATAACTGATACATCTTTTCTTTTTTTTTTTTTTGCAGTACGCGGGCCTCTCACTGTTGTGGCCTCTCCCGTTGTGGAGCACAGGCTCAGTGGCCATGGCTCATGGGC